CTAACTCTGCTCTCCCCTCTTCTCTCTCTCGACAAAACCCCACTAGCCACCACCTCCTCCTCTTCTCTCAACAAACCCCTACCACCGCAGCCACTCCGCCTCCTCCTTATCTCCTCTTCTCTCGACCCATACTTGTATTTGAGTGCAATCAGCAAGTTACTATTTTCTATTGATTTGACATCAGAATATTCGCAAAAATATTCTCATGTGACTCTCACATGGTAATTTGAGTAGTTGGTTGCCATCAATGTTGCTTGTATTTTCTGCTGTACCTACTCAAACCCACTTTAGTACGTCCATGTATGACTTGATCCTCGTTCTTTCTTCTTTAGATCTTGTGACTTGTTGAAAGTTTACTTTTTTCTTTCATCGTTTGAAATTACTTCCTCTTGTATTGTCAGCCTTTATACTATTTTTGATGTAATAATAAAATGTCTGTGTCACATGGGCGTGGACATAGGTGTCTATTTTTCCCCTTACACAAGAAACTTCAAGATGGTTACAGCGAAGGTATTTTTTTATCATTGTTTATGCAAATGTGTGTTGGAACTCAAATTTTAACTAATTTATTCCATCCGTAGTCTATAATCTGGCCATGGTCAAGTATGTGTAACTTGAGACAGGAAGGGTTGATAACAAGTGGCAAACTGGTAACTTCTTTGATGCGGTAGTTTCCTTTGTGTCCACAGAAATGTCCAGTGTCAAAATGAATTACGCAGTATTTAGTTTCTTGTCCGATTATGATGTGTTAATTGAAATACCGGTTTTTGTGGGAGTCCTTTGTAAATTAGTTTCTTCTAAGCTGTATTCTCCTCTGGTCGCACTAATGGTCCTTTGCAATCCCTTTGTTAGAATAAATTTTCGTTAGGAGCAGATTTATTGTTACTTTTCGTATTGTTTAATATTTAAAGAAATGTGAAGGTTTTGATAAGATTATTTATGACCTCACTGATATCCAAAAGGCAGGAGAGTGCTGTAGCGTGGTAGCTTTACATATGGATTAGGTGATTAGTTCAGGGTAAGCTGGTATGTGAGATTCCTAATAAAGAAAGAACTATAAGTTTTGGAGTAACACTAATCACCTTGATGCTTTGCAGACCATATGATATTGTTATCAAAGGAGCTGTGAGATTTTATAAACTGCTCCCGTTGGAATCTATCTAAAATTAAAAGTGTGATTACATCATTCAGTGTTGTCCATGACAATGGAACTAAAGCAGACAGTGAAAATACAGAAACTTGTATTGTTATTGTCACGTCCCCATGGCCTCGTTTTGTGGTAGCTTTCATGCAGTGCTTGTTTATTGGAGAGCATATTAGCCTAAGAAGTTTTATAGGTATTACTATGAAGTTTCTAAAATTATTGCTCTAATGGTTGCTCCTGATTGTTGTTGCTTGCTGAATTTTGCATCTTGGCTTTCTTTTAAGAGAAAAGCATCTTGGCCTTCGTAATTGTACAAGTTATTATAATTAGAGAGGACAATGTAAATTGCAGCTGATATTAGTTGCTTTGTCATGTCCATATTAGCCTTCTTTTTGCTGTAGATTCCTGTCTAGTGATGGAGAAGTATGAGAGTTTGATGAATGATACTCATTGTTGTAGATTCCTATCTAGTGATGGAGAAGTATGAGATTTTGATGAATGATTCTTCTACTAACTTGCCTGATATCTGATATTAATTTCTTTCAATGTGTGCATGAGCCGTCATCCTGCGGTAGATTGCCTGTAGTGTTGGACAATTTCGAAAACATAATAGATTATGCAAACAAAGTTTTGTGTAGATTCATAATGACCTCCCCTGGTTCTTTCTTTGGTTTATAATATTGTGCGAATATGATCCAGTGTTCGGCTTGCGCCTATCAGTTTGTTACTTCATTACATGGAGAGGCCCTTTTCTCTTAAGAAAATCACAGTACTTGCTGAGATGGTCACATAAAACCAGTAAAGGCATAATGTGAAAATTAACTGATTACTATATGAACTGATATGCAATGTGCCTTGTTGGATTTTGTAAAACTGCTGGGAGTTCATCTTTCTGGACAACCAGTATTATTTGATAGTGTTATAGATTTGCATTGAATCTGCTTATTTCTAGTAATTGAAAGAATGATGAAGTGATAGAGACTCCTCTTGAAATGTATTTTGAGCCGTTTGAAATAAGCTTCATTTGGTTTATTGTTGCAGTTATATTTTAGGATATTACCTGTAAGCAAAGTTCTAGCAAATTTCTTACTTGTTTGCTTTTCCTACAGTCAATTTCAACAAGTAATATCCTCGATTTCTAGATGGAATCACAGAAGACTCAGTCTGGAGGGCAACAGCAACCTCATAAAATCGATCCAGCTATGCAATCTTGCAGAAAGAAGAAGTCAGAGAATGCTACTTTTTTGGAGGATGTTAAGGATCACATTGACGAGTTCATTCATGCTTCCATGGATGAACACAAAACTTGTTTCCAAAAGACCATCAAGAAGGTAACAAATCCTTTTCCTTAATTGTTTGTTCTCATTGATTTATTTCTTCAGCCATCCCTGTAACTATATTAAAATGCTGTGATGGGTTATGTTTCAGATGTTTGGAATGTCCAAGGTTGTTGCTGAGAGGGCTTCAGAAGCAGAGAAGGCCAAAGAGGTTGAAAGCGTGCTGCCCCTTCAAACATCAACATCTTAGATGTGCCTGGACGTTTTTCATTTGCATAAACAGAGAGTATTATCATGTTAGACTTTGTACGGTTTAAAGATTAATGATGCATAAATAGAGAAAAGACAATTATGTGATGTATGCTATAACTGGATATTTGGGTTTTTTTTTTTCAATGTCTTTTTCAAGTTAGTCTTGCTTGTATTATGTTTGCCTCAGAACCTCCTTGTTCTTGTTGTTGTGTCCTCTCAATTTTATCATGAAGAAATCTACAGTTGATAACTAATGTTGTTTTTAGCAAGCTTTTAGTAAGGATAATAATGAGGAGTTGTGCTATGTTGGATTGGGTACGGTATGTGACAGGATAAAGAAGGCGTTAAAAAGACATTAAAAAAATGAGCGTGTGAGCATTTGTTAGCCTTATATAGCACTTAAGAACAATTTTTCAAAACAGCCCCATTTAGAGTTTTTTTTTTCAAAATCGACCGGTTTTTTTTATTTATCAAAACCGATCCGATTTTGTGATTAACCGGCTAATCACCTTCCTAAATAGTCAGGGTTGGTAACCCCGACTATTTAGGACTTTAATTTTTAGTGTTTAAGGCCTCTAATTGGGGTTTAATACCATCCTAAATAGTCGGGGTTGGCAACCCCGACTATTTAGGATGTTGATTAGGCTGATAATCACAAAATCGGGTCGGTTTTGATAAATAAAAAAAACCGGTCGATTTGAAAAATAAAACTCTAAAGGGGTCTGTTTTGAAAAATTGTTCAGCACTTAATTTAACTTACAGTTTTACTCAGTTTGCACTTATTATATATGCCCTCTCATGTCTTGCGAATGTCCCTATATAAAACTGACTAATTTATTCTAAAGAAATGATAGGGGCACACCCTTGGACACACCACCAACCACACTCCCCCTCTATCTACAGTGAAGGGGCCTCACATGTGATTTTTTAAAAAAAATCACATGTGGGGCCCCTGCACTGTAGATAGAGGGGGAGTGTGGTTGGTGGGATGTACAAGGGTGTGTCTTAGGGCATCTCCAATCATACCCTCCAAATTTGGCCCTCCAAATTAGAATATTCTAGGAATATTCTAATTTGGAGGGTGAAATTTGGAGGGTTGCTCCAACACACCCTCCAAATATTTTTCTTTTTATTTTTTTGTCAAAAAAGCCATATAAATTAAATAATGTTGAATATAGTTTACGTTAATAATTTTATTGTTAATAATTTATTTGAGAAAAAAATTATAACATTATAAAGGTGTCGATGATAGCTTTAAAATGAACCCAATATTAATACTGCAATACAACATATTAAAGCAGAATGTAATTTAAATATTATAATTTATGCTTGTATTTTTTTATGAAGCGAATTAAATAGATCCCCGTATTTAAAATTTCATGTTTGATACTTATTTATTTAATTTAAAAATTAATAATTTTATAATAATACTAAAATAAATTAATCTTAGTTTCATTTTAAAGATCTCAGCGAGCCCTTTCCAAATATATAATGATTTCAAATATTAGATTAATAATTTTTTAACTATATTTATTTGAAATTAAACATCTAATTTAAATTACTAAGAAGGATGGCAAAGTGGTAATTTTTAAGAAATCAAATAGTTAAAAATGACAATATTGTAATTAAAAAACTATGAATAGTGTTATGGAGAGACCCTTCATTTTTTCTCCCTACCCTCCAAATGTGGAGGGTCAAATTTAAAGATCTTCAAATTTAGAGAGTGATTGTAGAGGTTCCACTCTCCAAATTTGAAGATTTTGGAGATACGGAGGATGGTTGGACATGGTTACCCTCTTTATTCTAAGTATATGCATAAATGCTGATGCGCGCGTCGACAAGATCTGCTGCTGACGAGCGACATAATGAGCACATCCATGAAGTCCGCATCATGAGCTCATCCTATACGCCTTCTTTTTTGTCTGTTGCGGCTTCAATCTCAACATCAAACTCTTCCCAAATCGACAAGACGCGTTGCGGCAGCTATAGGTATATCTAGACATCTTATACGATTAAAAGTTGGCTAAATATCAGAAAAACCCTTTGGACCTTCCTTTTTCGATATGCTCCCTGACTCTTGCTATTCTCCAACCTTGTTCATCAAATTCTTATACCATATTCATCAATAAGTCTGGAGAAACCCAGACATAATCAACAAGCGCGGCTTAAACTTTCAATTTTTTGAGGGAAAAAGTAAAGTACTGATTCGAAAATCTTTAAACCTGTTTTCTCGAAATTCCTATAATTTCGAAACCACGTTCTAGCTCAGTAAAATCTTGATAATTGATCACTTATATCTGGAAAAATCTTAAGACTCCGAGCTTTTTCCTCCCCACATCCACTAATCCCCCCCACCCCCCCCCCCATATATTGAGAAATTGGTCGCACTCTTCGATGCATGAAAAACCGGTGTGTCATATCGAGAAAATGACGTTTGGACACCTTATCATATTAGAAGTTGACATGTAGATACCTAATCCTACATTCATATAAGAATCATCTTCAAATTAAAATTATTCATAATTAGAAAATTCTAATTATAATAAAATGTTTGGTATTCTAATTAAATCATAATTATCCATAATTTTTAAAAAATTCTGATAATCATACTTTTAATTCTCTCTTCTTTTATATACAAAGGAGGTGTCAGAGATGATTCAAATCTCTTTATCCTAATATTATTATTTTGATTAGACTTTCCATTGAATATGCAGTGAAAAATAGTCTTATTGCAAATAGGATTTGTTTTCTTAATGCCAGTGTCCTTTTGATAATGTAGAGCCAACATCCAAAACAAGTTATTGGCATGATTCTGTTGTATTCGGTGGCGGATGAGTTACAGTTTGAACTCTTTTAATAACTTGATTGCCAACAGGTCCACTAACCATAGGATTCTAATCCCATTTGGAGAAGCATCGAGGATATCAAGTTTTCGTCCCTATATGTATCATCAAAAGCTCATCCCTGCAGTTAACACCACTCCGAAAGAGGTTTTCTGATATTTATGGGTATTGCCTTCTTGATATTTTCTGTGTTTGACATTTGTTTATCTTAGGGATTTATCACAACTTGAGGGATAAGTGGTTTACTATTTGTCCCTCCTTAAATTTTTTAAATGGTAAATTTCGCAAACCTGCAATAACTTTGATCATTTTGCATTAATCATCTTGCACTTAGCCGTCCAAATGTTTGAAACCCCCACTAAGTTAGGACTTAAAAAATCAAAAAATATTTTAAATTTTGCACTTAACCCCAAGAACATCATTACTCCATAATTTTACACCAACGAATATTTTTCCTCTAAACCAATATATACCTCTCAAATCATTACTATTTGCAAATTTAATCGTAAAATTACAAATAGACCCTTCAAATATAAAATTTATATATAGCCCATTGAAAGTATGAAATTATAAATAAACCCCTGAAAAATCTAAAAATTATAAACAACCACTTTTAAATTCCAAAAATTATAGACAATCCCCTGAAAAATCAAAAAACTTCAACTAGATCCCAGAAAAATATGAAAATTAGACACCACACCATTGAGGATTTGAAATTACAAAAAAAAACCGTGAAAAATAAAAAAAAATTAAAAAAGACCTTTGAAAATTTTAAAAATTGCAGACAAATCGTAAAATTTTTGAAAATTAAAGACAATTTTACAAATAGTTCCCCACAAAAACCTAAAATTACAAACAACACCTTTAAAATCCCAAAAATTCTAACAGCCTCCTGAAAAAATTAAAAATTACATATGGAGCCATGAAAGTTATAAATAGTGGTCATTGAAGGATCTCTGCCAAAACTTATTAGGGGTTAAGTGAGAAAAACTTATTGGGCATTTTCTACCAAATTTGGTTATGGGTATTTTGGTCATTGACCATATTTGAACTAACAGCATTAATTTGGAGGGCTTAATGAGCGCTTCATTAAGTATTTGGGGTTTAGATCCAAACGCTCAGATATATTACATTAAGTATTTGGGGTTTAGATCCAAACGCTCAGATATATTAGAGGTTTAGTGAAATTTACTCATATATCAATTTATATAGGGTAGATTAGTGGTTACACGCGTGAAGATCTTATATCTATTGAAAAATATTTTAATGATTACGATTTTGACAATGTACAAACCCAATGAAAAAAGGTATTTAGTAGACTTCAATTTTTAGAAAGGGTAAATTACACTCAAATTATCAAAGTTTCCCCTACATTGCACCAAAATACCCTAAGTTTAAAGTCCTACGCTTGAATACCCAAAGTTTCTAAAAGTTACACTTTAATACCCAATGCAATGCAAATGTGAGAATTTTGCCCCAGAAATTATCATGTGACACTAAATTACTATTTTCAGGATATTTTAAACCTTACTTTTTATTAAATCTATCCGCTCAAAATTCTACTTTAAATCTACCTTAATTCTATCTTAAAAGAGGATTTTTAAAGTTTTAACAATAGATTTAACAAATAAAATAAGGGTTAAAATATTCTAAAAATAGCATGTGAGTGTCATATGAGAATTTTCACGACGAAATTCTCACATTGATTTGCATCCGCTATTAGGGCCTGTTTGGTTCGTTTCCTTCACTTTCCAAAGGCCACTTTTCTTCATTTTCTAGTGTTTCCTTCACTTTCCTGAAAAATGTTTCTTGTGTTTGTTTCGTCCAAAAATATGGAGTGAAAGTACTTTCCACCATTTTTCTTAGTTTGGTTCAACTTGAAAAAAGAAGAAAATAAGTGAATTGTTAATAGATTCCCTCATTTTCTAGTGTTTGGTTCAAACAAAAAAATCAAGAAAACTTGATTGTGGTCACCATGGTAAGATTACCACTCATCATCATAGTTGTGCATATAAACATGGAAATTGTGAACAAAATCAATTATCTTATGATCACAATTGAATCAAATGATGAATAACAGATTAGCACAAAACTGAACCCAAAGCAATATTGGCTGCAATATATTTTGTGCTCAGAAAAGGCTATTTTTTCATTATCTACCTCGCCATGAAGTTTATAAATAGCAATGTTGGCTGCAATATATTGCCTCGCCAATATATTGCTGCTATAAACTTTGGCTGCATATCTAAAAACTAACTCATCATCATAACACAAAATATGCATACCAACCAAAGGCCAACCAGGAGCTGAAACCAAGGCCGAGAGCAGGTTG